TGAGTGATGAATGGGTCTATGTGCTGGCATTTACATCGATGCATCTAAAACTTTAGAAGTAAAGTTTGTGTTTTTAATTTGTGTTGGCATGCCGACTGTGCATCTTTTAATTATAACTTTGAACGAACACATGTGTTGAAGACTTTGACAGATGTTGAGTGCTGCTTGAAGATCTTATTGGTTGAATTTGATCAAATGTGAAAGAAAAAAACAGTGTTTTCATATATTAAATACAAATCTTTTTCTATTGCCCTTAAAACAGTCTCCTTTTGAGGCAATACAAGCACTCCAATGCTTAGTTCAATTTTCCACACACCTGTTATGAGCCACGGCTGTGGCATGGCCTTCAGGACCTTTGACTTTTTAATGGCTTAAATGAACATGTTTAGCTTTGAAAACAGAGAAAAGTTATTGGGTAAAGTGTTTGGCCAAAAAGTCAATAACAATCATACTAGAATGTGATTGCGCTATGACGTGGTGAAACCCCCCTAAATTTTCTGCCCAAAAATCCGACCGTTTACGACGAATTGCCGCACGTAGACCCGTCAAAACGGCCGTGACCGTTTGATGCTGTGAAACGAATTCATGGTGAACCACACCAGAGTAAACAAGGAAGGTGATGAGCACCACCTTCTTTTTGTCCGACTTTGACGGGGTTTTTTCGATTTCTGCTCATTTTTGGAACGCCATTTTATAGATTATTTAACAGTTTTGATGTCATATTCATAAACTCACATTTCGTCACCAGTATTGATGCGTTTTATAAATGTAGGTAGATAGTCTTTGCAAACATTTGGGTCTTAGTCCAATATTGACACGCTGCATACTCAAAACAAAATGGTTGAGTCGATCTATCTGATAGCAACACGGCGATTCTCAAGCACCGCTTTTTTCTAACTTTTTTTTAATATTATTGTCATTAACAAAGGTAAATGGACAACCTCCATGAGCCAAGTATTCGATCACTTCACGACCTCCACTAAATGCCACTAAAATACTTCTGTTCGTGATGAAGTGAGTACTGCTGCAATATTTTTAACGATTCCCTACCCATGATTCTATAAGAAACCCAAGGAAACCCGCTGTTAAATATTTTTTCATGGTAAAAATCGCCAGGAAAACTTTTGAAATTATGTAACTGTTGGCAATTTGCTATACTTGTATGTATTACTTATACCAATTGATTTTTCGATACACCACTCTCTAAGGTTTGGCGAACCAGACTCACATCAAACAATTTTGAGAGTGAGTTTAGGTCAAGGTAGCAGTAATTGAAAGTGTTTATCTTAGAATTGGCGACTTATTCTTCTCTGACCTAAAGGCAAAATCTTCGGATACCATAACTTCGTTATAACCCGACAAATGAAAGTTTCTTCGTTTTAAGTTATCTCCAAGCGGCTGGTTTGTCTGAGAGCATACCGCTGACTTCGTAGTCAAAGTCTATAAATAATCTGAACTTAACATTTCCTTAGTAAAATAAAAAATCGTTTTACGCAATCATAACCTCACCGTCTTTTGCCCTTCTGCGAAATGCGCCACAAATCATTTAAAAATGTCTTTGACCCCGAACATGCAACGTCGGGCTTCATTCAAAGCCACAAATCGTGGAATATTTTTACGCTATGAAATAAATGTCACCGCTATTTGCAAGCTACTGCGTATTTATGTTGCAAATGTGCATGCCAACGTGCATATTTCAGCTTAATGAAGACGAAAGAAAGGTGCTGTTGGTTGTTGCCACAGCAGCAAAAGCTTCTGAATCCACTCCCGCACCACGACTCCCAGCCGAAAAGCGAAAACACTCGACTGCCTTTGTTTGCTCCTGATTCACTGAGCCGCGCTGCATTGGTTCGTTGCCTGCTAACTGCCACTTCGTGACACACGTATGTGTGTGTGTGTGTGTGTGTGAGTTGGCATTTTGTTGCATTTGCATTTAGCGACATTTCAACATTTCCGCACGTTTTCTATTTATGTGAAATTGCACAACTTCCATACCAGAAAGCGAAAATGCGAAAAAAGAACAGGATTCGAAATAGGCAGTGAAACAAAGAAGACGCGACAGTCTAAAGTAGCAGCCGTGCAACAGTAGCAACATGCGAAAAAGAAGTAGGAAGGAACGGTAAAATATTTATGTGAATATGCAACATTATTTTTGACTTCCGTCAGCAGCAGCAGCACAACTCCTTTCGCCGTTACAAACCAATTGCAGTTGCTGTTGCACAGGCATTCATCAATGTTGTCGCCACTATTTACCGGAACGCCAACGTCTGAGTGAAGTCCAAAAAGGCAACTCACTAAGTAATGATTCTGTCACATTTGTTTATGGCAACGCTTACTTCAGACTCGGTGCGCACAAATAAAATAGCAGTAGTCGCAAGCGCACACATACACACGCCGATATGCAATTAAATGCCACTACATGCATGCTTTCATATATTCCATCTATGTATGTACAACTTTGGTGCTTTATTTACAGTGAGTGCAAAATGTCTGCACATAAACAAATACATCAGTTGAAGTCCTACAACAAGTGGCAACATAGTGTTGCACAAGTAAACACACACATACACAAACAAGCAAATGCCTATTTGTATTCATTTTGCATCTCTGCTCATGTGTGTGCGTGTTGCTGTGCTCACGTATATTTCTCATTACCCACCACACGCATTTTAAGTTGCAACTCGCATATTGCTTTTGTATCCCCCCTTTCCTTGCCTCCTAATTTGCCGTAATTTAATGTCTTTAATGCTCATGTGAGAATTTTATTTTTGCATTCATTCACCGTTCAATATTTTTATGATTAGTAGTTACAGAAACGTGCAGAGTTGCATTAAATTTCTCGACGAATATTATGTCTTCTTGGTGGTACGAAAAGTCCTTGTACTGAAAACTTTTTTCTTTGGCCAGATATCTTTACAAAATTTGGCACAGCGTAGTATCCAACCCATTGCTATAATCTAATAGCAAATTGTTCAGATCAGACAACTATAGCATATAGCTGTCATACTAACTGACCAGTCCAACTCAAGTCCTTGTATAAAGAACTTCTTTATTTGAAAAAGGTTCTTCATGAAATTTGCCATAGGTTATTATCCAAAGCATCGCTACAATCTCCGAACAAATTGTTCAGTTCGGACCACTATAGCCCAAAGTTTACATACAAACTGACCGCTCAAAATAGAGATATAGATCTTTTTATACCTTTTATGATACAAGTAATGACCCTACATTCCCTCTGCAGCGTACAGAAAGGTGCCAATATGACTCTCGTTTCCGTTTAATTTCATCCGGCTAGTGTTTCACTTGTCCATTTGCTAACACAAAAATCTACATTTCCACGTTTCATCACCAATAATTTCGTGTTTGAGGAATTTAAGGTGCTCAGCTGCGTTGCCAAGCACCACCTTGTGACCTTTTGTGATAATAGATAAACCATAATAAATATTGAGATCCTCTGCTATCGCTCTAATACCAACATGAGCATTTTCAAGCACTCTTCCTTTAACTTTTTCGATGTTATCGTTATTAACAGAGATGGTTGGACGCCTCGCATGAGACAAGTTTTCGCGGATCTTACGATTTTCACTGAATGCTTTGTGCCACTGAAATACTTATGTTCGTCATAAAGTAGACTCCTCAAAACACTTTTTTACTATTTATGACAAAAAGCGTCAAAAAGTCGTTTCACCAACCGACTTATCTAAATTTCTTTAAAATAATAATTCTTCACTTTGACTCATTCTGCGTTCAATTTAGCGCACTTTTCACTTCACTAAATTTCATATTCAACTCAAAAAATTAATGGTGAAAACGCAGTTTAAATTACCACTTCCCGGTTTTGCGTCACAAAAATCACTTGTGACTTTCAACCGCGGTTAATGTTCCTTTAATTCACGCATAAAATAACTCCATATAGCAACTATGTTAACGCATTGCAAATTATTCTTGCAGCTGCCAGAGCTTTTTCCTGTTAAGCCACTAACATAAATACCACGCGCTTATAATAACCCACACTTTTGCTTTGTCAGCGGCACGCGGTTTAAAAATTTCCAACTCAATGACGCAAATGCAAAGCAAAATCAATTAACCTCTTTAAAAGTGTAATGGTAAAAGTTTTAATTTTTTACCAAAAATTATTTTAATTTGCAGAGCACACACCCTTGCATACTATTGTATATACTGTACACCCACACAATCATGAACTCTTCGCGCTTTCGCTCCACAACTGTCGAACCCTTTTTTGCACACCTTTGTTGAACCTTACACATTCCCTTACTCAATAAACGCTTTAGTTATTGTTTTTGCATAGGCGCTACAGAACAAAAAGCCCGTATTTGCGGTATTAGGCAGCAGGTTTTCGCATCTTCACACTGTCGCACCGTAAATTTGCATAATTTCGTAATTTTTGTACAAAACCGCATGCCAGCGTATAAGTATAAGTATTTTTACAGCTAATGAATGCATTCACACAGCGAAGTGCATGCAAATTGGCAGCACAAGTGTAGAGCAGCGCGCATCGCATCGCACCGGAGCGTTAAGTCAGCAAAGCCACGCAACGCAACACGAGCGCACCGCAGTGCATTGTGAATTGAATTGTGATAAAATTGTCGTAAATTTTTAACTGTCAACGTGGTTGCGCTGTTGTTTGTCAAGCAACTCGCAACACTTTACATAAGCGATTAAACGATAAGATGGGGTATGAAACGCACACATGCATACATACATATATGTATGTGTGTGCGCTTAAAATTAGTTTGTTGCACTGGCAACCAATAATAAGAAATTATAAAGAATTTGTTTGCAATCCGTTAAAATTACTACAAAGAAAAATTGCGCTTGCGCACCTTTATGTGGCTTAAAATACCCAAATATTTATAAAAATGTATAATCAGATGCGTAATACTTAGTGTCAACAATATTTTATTTTAAAATTTTTGAATTTATGACATTCTCTTCATATGCGCAAAATTTTAAATTTTTACTTTATCCTTTACTTGCAGACAAATACCCACCGCTTACTCCAAGGCCAATGGCGGCACTGCCATACCGCTGCCCGCCACTGTTATGGTGCAACGCCGCTGCCCACCGGACAAAGTACGACCACTGCCACCGACACCGAATCACACGCCATGTAAGTTGAGAAAATTTAGCAATTTTATTTGAAAACCGCTTAAGTCGTGTTAAGGTATTTAAATATTTTGGTAGAGGCTAAACAAAAAAGCAACAAGTTGGTATTGTATTGGTACAATTTATTAAATTTGTTCTGAAATATGAAAAAAAAAAGCTTTTGAAGCCCACAAATATAAAGTTTTGTGCAAAAATTTGTAGATATCAAGTTATTATTATTTATTAGGGGGATAAATGATAATAAATTGATTTCTAATCCTATTCAAGCACCTAGTCCAGAATTAGACGAGACGGTAATTATAGTTCCTGTTATTAGGATAAAGAAAAATATAATTTTAGCTGAATTATTAAAAATTAAAAAGAAAAGGATTGGAACCTTTATAAATGGGGTATGAGCCCAGTAGCTTAATTAGCTTATCTTTTTAAGTTGTTTATATTTTAGTGTATGATGCACAAAAGTTTTTGATACTTTTAGGAATAGTTTAATTCTATTAAATATAATGAATGTAATATTATTACATAATTTACCCTATCAAGGTAACCCTTTAGATTTGAAATTGGAAACTGTTCTCATTTTCGACCACTAGCTTTTATGTATTCATACATTTTGACCTGGTAGAGCTTTTAAAACATCTAAAAAAACAATAGTCTTTTATAAAATTATATAGAAATAAATATAAATAAAAAGAGAATTCATAACTATCCGCAATGTCGAAAAGGTTCTACGAAATTTTGCCGCTATCTCAAACCAACCTTTATATATATACTATATGGTATGGAAGAGTTAGGTTTGGTTAGGATAGATAGCTGAGCCAGAGTTCGCACTTGGTCTATATGTCCTTTGTAAAGCCATAAAAATAAAACTCCAGTATTCGGTCTTATAACTCAGCAAAGCGCCTTGTGGCCAATACAAATTTGCTCAGGCGTTTAGTTTCTATTCCTACCAGTTCAGTTCCAAGTGTTTAAAAATTGATCTCGCGGGAAAAACAAAAAGTGTTGAGATCTTTCCGCCTCGTCTTGGTACATACAGCTACTGGCGTCCGGTAATATTTCCACCCTTACAGCATGGACGCCAATAGGGCAATGGCCTGTTAGAATCCCCAGAGCTAGGGAGAGGCTAGGATTACTGAGAACAAAGAGCTGATTGGATATCTTACGATCGATAATTGGCTAGAAGTATCTGGCGATAGCGCATGAACGGTTGGTAACCCAGCGCCTACCAAGCTCCCGCGAAGCCCAGCTATCCAGTAGTAGAACACACGAGAAGAGAGTAGCACCGAATCGTCAGATATGGAACAGTGCAAAACGTACTTTTAAAACTCTTAACATTAGAGAATTCAAAGTTATCCATATTTTCGAGATGTAGGTGGGCTCTCGCAAATTTTCTGCAACTCTTAACCCTCTAACCAAGATTATTTATAATAATTTTTATAAGTAAATGGTTAACTTCAAACTGCCAAAAGGCCGATAGTTTGTGTTATTGAATTATAAATTATTTTTTAATTGATTACAATTACAAATTAACTTAAAATTATATTGATAACAGCAAACTTAAACGTTTTCAGCTCTATTCACTAAGCTTTAACCCGCTGAAAATGACATTGTGTCATTTCAATCTTAAGCTAAAAAAGTAGAAAAAGTTGTATGAATAATTTTTTTATTTAGATTTACGCAATATATTTTTCCTTATGAGCGTAACAGTACTAGTGCGTCTGGATTGAGTTTTAATATACTCACCGCATATTCTTTATTAGCAACCTCAAATAATTTACCCGCTTTAAAATTTCAACTCATATTATATTTACGAAGCTCCCTTAAACATATTTAAAAAAAAACTTCGTTCGGCTGAAGTTCATGTCAAATATTTGTTAGCTGCTCCACAAATTTTAATTAAAAATCCACTCAACATTTTTCAATAAAACCACAACTCATAAAAGTACTCCCTGCGTTCACATATACTACATACATATACATCCTTGGACCCACATAAAAATCACCCCTAAAACAGATGCCTTCGTTTTGAGCAACAGGATAAAAAGTATTTAGCTTTCGTTTACGATATAGAAATAAAAAATAAATCCCGTTTAACAAGCTGATAACCCACCGTTACTTTATTTCTCTAGAGATTCAAGCCTAGATTAATAGAAATGTGCATCTTGAAAGCAAAGCTCTAATGTGCCAATGTGTGTGAGTAAAAAATAATACAATACACATACGATGCCAGAGTGAGTGAGTGTGAGGCGACCAAAAACGACATGAAAATTGACCGAGATTTCTATTGCACAGACATACTAGAGTAATGAGGACAATAGTACTTGTACTTCAAGCCGAAAACCATGATGAGTATGGGCGCGTGAGTACAATGCAGAACGAGTGAATGGGTGTACGAGTAAATGAGTGTAACAGCGTGGGAGTAGGAGAGCGTGAGCAATGAATGTTGGTTAGCCATAGATAAAAGGGTAAAAATAGCCAGTCAAAGTGCTTGAAGTATGAATGTGTGCTGATATATATATATATATATATTTATCGCGCAGAAAATGCCATCAAGGGAAGATTTTGCTCTGGCTATGTTATGGTGTTAAGTACAGTAAATGCATAAAAAAATGAGTCTAAGCTTAATGGTGCTGTGACGCACCTCAACCCTAGCACCTTTTCGAACGAATACTTATATCAAATGACACACATGGGGATTTTCAAATTTGGGCTTGATAATGATAGGATTTACGAGCTTGTGATAGCCTTTTGATGTTACTGATGACGCTATTGTGGTTTTATGGTTTCGCGCTAAAATTTGTCAGCGATTTTTATTTTTATAAGGTTAACATCAATGTGCCATACATTAAGCTCCTGAAAGCCTTTTAATTAGCAAAAATTGGTAAACAAAAAACTCAAAAAAAAAGCTCTATATTCCAAAGCGATCGTCGACTTATTATAAAAAGCTAGTAATAAGCTGCTTAACTGCTGTTTTATTATTCGCATTTATGAAATAAGTAATTGCTTTGTTTTAAGAATATGCCACATGATGGACTAGAATAGCATTCCTTCTGATAGAGATTCTCTAAAACATAAATATGAAGGAAAATAAAAAAAAAAATAAAAAAATAAAACCTTCGGAGCAACTTTCTCGAAAAAAAGTCATGATTTTTTCTACTCACCCACACAAAGAAAGAGTTGCTTTGGATGAAAAAGTATTAAGTAAACTAAAATTAATAAGAATATCGTCTACAAGATTGCTAGATATTTGATAGAACTTCTGCTGCCTTATGAGGCGTGATATATGACATTATCTGGAAAATAAAATAACAAACAAGATTTAAGCCTCCGCTGAATGGAATTATTATATGAAAGACTGTGGATGACAATATGGTCGTTGAAAGTATATTATCGTTAAAGCGTTCACCATAACTTTTTATGGTGGCTCTATCATTTTGTATAGATTTCCAGAAGCTTTTCCACAATGATATGAGGACTTGAAGTAATTTTTTTGATTTCAAATTATTAGCATGACTAGATAACAGCAGGTACAAGCACAATAATATGTCGATTGTGTTCAAATTATGTTGGAAACAATTAAATGTTTAAATATTTAAAACAGATCTATGCTCTATGGGGTCTATTTAACGCGTATTTTTGCTTCTCAAATCTCGGATAAGTCCAAATCATTCCATACGAGTCAAAATAAATTGGTTGCTGAAACCCTTACATTAAATAATTAAAAAAAAAAAGTAATTCAACATTTTTTTAGCTTCTAATATTATAATATATTAAAAATTCAAATAAAGCGCTTTGAATAAATTTTAAATTTCCAAAGGATTTTTGTTACAAAAAACTAAAGAACGGAAGTTTTTTGACTGCATATACAATTTCAATCGATAGCAATCGCTGCTTGCAAGTCAGGAAGTAATTTCCATTGCATGTTTTCTTCCTCAAATATAAAATTTCTAAAAGAAGCCCGCACATGGCAGTGAAAACTGGTATTTGTCAAACCGCAATGTGTTCATAAATAATTTCGAGTTTATCGCTTCATCAAGCTGTGATTTTGATTTATGCTTGTCACTAATTTGTTTCACTCGCATGCGATTTGTGGCTTCTATTTTTACTGAACTAACTGAATGATCGACGCTCCCTCCTCAAAGAAACAAAACGAATTCCTTTGCTGTTCTTAAGGAAAGTGCATATGATTACACATACCATATATACTTGTATATATATACACTCACTTGCATACATACATATACACTCACTTGCCCGTGCTTTAATGCATTGCGTAGGCGCGTGTTTCGAAAATTAATTAACGCATTTCTTCAAGTTGTTGTTCGCCCGACAGTTGTTTCGCTTCAACGGCTGCAAAAAGAATTCTTACGCCTTTACAAGCAAAAGCTAGACTAGTACTTGCCTGAGTCCTGCTGGCATAAATCAGTTTTCAATGCAACTCGCTTGCTTCTTCCATGTGTGGAGCTGACTTGCAATCACATGCGTGTAATTTAAATTAATGTCCACTCGTTTTACATGTATAAGACTCTTACAAGACTCTGCTGCAGCCAACAAGACTCTGCTGTAAAAAAAATATGGCAAATGAAAAAATGTTGTTTAAAGGGTGTTGACAACTAGCGGTGGCAAGTGTCGTAAATTAATACTGAAGCTTACATATGACAAAAGTTGTTCAAATTGTTTGTTGTTGTAAGCAATTGTAGAGATTTAGGCTTGAAAACTTAAAAAAAGAAAAAAAGAATAATATAAATATTTATTTTTTTTTTGGTTCTGGAAGGAAAAGTGAAATATTTATATGAAAATTTCAGAGTTCTCCAACAATTTCTTAAAACATGATAACTAAATGATTCTCACCACAAAATAGAGAAGAAAATTTTATTGTTTGAAATTACCTTTCTAATTATTATTTTATATAATAATAATTCACATTACAGTAGTATATGAAAATTTACTGCCGATTCTACTTTGAGCTTCCTTTTAAGGGATATGATTCTTCGCTTCGAAAATCTGAGTGTGTTTGGCTACTTTGGCTTTGCATGCTTTGAATATCTTAACCCACCGCGTCAACATTAGGTCACTGTGACCCTAGTGTACTTATGTTCAATTGAAAAAAATTTAACGGTACTCTGAAATTTCAATGGATGTTTATATGATTCGAATAGTTCAAATAAAACAGTGACTGTAATTTGCTCTATTAAAAATACAATAAATAATGTAAACGCAAATAACATTTTAATTGTTATTCAAAATCATATTCGAAAACAACACTTTTTCTATATTTTTTACCAGATACTTAGTGAACTGTAATATAACCATTGAAACAGAAATTATAAAATATTTAGTATTTACAAATTTTTTGTTTTCTTATACTTGCAGCCATACCCGGTTTAGGAAAAAGTGGCGTTGATTTTAATAGCGCGCGACCAAATAGTCCACCAACCACTAATCATACCATACAAAGTCTGAAAACTGGCAATAATAATGGGTGAGTATATATTTTATATATTTTATCAAAGGCAATATAAATAAATTGAACCCCAGTTAAATCCCAACACGCAAAACATAGATTTAACAATTTTCAATTCAGCAGCAAATCATAAAATTGTAGAATTAAATTTATTCAAATTGAACACAAACCATATATTACATATACTCAAAAATCTTATAAAATTAATTCACCTCTATCCACAGCCTACGTCCGCCAACGGCTAAAACAACGCACGCCAGCGGCATACCGCCACCGAGTGGCATACCGGCTGCAGCCGCTAATATGGGACCAACGCTGCCACAGCAAAAGCACTCCATGCTTGACAAGCTTAAGTTGTTCAATAAAGAAAAACAGCAACAACAAAATGCAGCTAATGCTGCCTCGACTAAGATGCAAGTGCAATCCAAGCGCACCTCCTCATCTTCGGGTTTCTCATCGGCGCGTTCCGAACGCTCAGACTCTTCGCTGAGCCTCAACGACGGACACATATCACAGATCAAGCCGCCAGCGGTCAGTGTAACATCTGGCAAGAGCAAAATCAATACCAAACAATCCAAACTGATAGCGGCACAGCTAAAGAAAGAGCAGACGAAAGTCAGCAAGCTGGACAAGAAGGAGAAGAGTCCAGCGCGCTCGCTAAATAAAGAGGACTTCAGTGGTGAGAGCCGCAACTCTACAATGGGACGCGCAAAGAACTCATTGCCGCGCGTTACCGAAAAGAATTCGCTGAAATCTTCTTCTAAGGGCTCACTTAATTCCAAGTCCGACTCGAAGTCTTCGTTGATAGTGCCGCCCACGAAGGGACTCTGCAGCCCCAATGGCACTGGTTTACCCAAACCAATTGCTGCCATAAAAGGCACAAGTAAGTTGCCGCAATCACCTTTGGGTGGTGTTGGTGGCAGCGGCGATAATCGTGTACGTGGCATGAGCAACTCAAATTCGCAGCAGGAGATGATGAAGCGTGAAAGGAGTGACATATCAAGCATGCATGCAAACATATCTAGTGAGAACGCTAAATCGAAAGAATTAACGCAACAGCAACAACAACATCAACAGCAGCAACATCAACCACATATCGTGAAACCGGTGCCGATACTACCGGAGCCGGGCAGCAAGCCACCATATTACGCTAACGCCACAAACATATCACAGCAGCAGCAACAACAACTCCAACTACAACAACAACGCCAGCAGCAATATCAACAGCAACAGCAAGCTTATTACAATCAACAACAGCAACAACAACAAGAACATGCCACATATGTGAATAACAGTCGTTTGCCGCCGCCAAAATCCGCTACTTCACCTACCGGCAACGCGCCAACTGCGCGCAAACTTGAATATAACGCCGGTCCTGGTATACTCGCGTCACCACAGCGCTCGCCACTACGCGGTCACGCGCAATCGCCTGACTCGCCATCCGCGCATCAACACCATCACGCGCACGCGCACTCGCACTCCAAGTTCCACACAATACCCTCCAGAATAGACACAATCTATGAGGAGAAGAAACCGACGAGCCTGCTGCCGATGCCGCCGTTACTGCGTGGCTACAATTCGCATGTGACACTGCCGACGCGCGGTGTACGCGGCGGTGGCAATCGCAATTATGTGGCCGATTTCATTGAAGCGGAAATAAGTCAAGGTTACTGCAGCGATGGCGATTCATTGAGAGTGAGCGCCTCAGCGCGCTTAGCGCAACGCGCAGCCGCAACAGCGAGACGCTATCACGACATAGATAATGGTTATTTGTCGGAAGGCAGTGGCAGTGTCGGTCATCATGGCATGCTAATGGGTGGCGGTATGAGCTCGGCGGCGCATACCAAACATTTCTTGAGCATGATGCGTGCGAGGACACAACTGCCGACGACCATCGAAGAACGGTAAGTCGAAAATCATTCTCTTTTGTTTATATCTTAATCGCATACGCCAAAATTCATCTTAGAATACCTCATAAATAAAAAAAAAAATTTAAATATGATATCGTTACCGCGAGACTTAAAACTAACAACAATTTATAGAAAGTATTGAGTGTTGCATACGAAAGCAAAGCGTCATGTAAAAACCCCAGCGAATGCTTTGCGCGCCCATAAAAAACGAAAAATATCTCTATCTACAATTTACTCACTACCTATACGTAGGTATATACCATACAGCTTATACTTGTATACAATTTCTTCCATCTCTCTGCACATCACACCGTCAGCCTTGAGTCACAAGCCAACATCTCAAGTAAAAATTTGTGTAATGATTCATAGCTCGCGCGTCACTTTCGGCCATCCTTGTGGTTGGTCCGCGAAGATGCCCTTTTTCGTGCGAATCGAAGACACATTTTTTCATGTTCGAACCACATAAATAATAGGACAAGTCAGCACGCAACGAGAATACAAATGTCAAACAAAGAAAAACAAAAGAAGTCCTGCTAAATAGCGGTGCCAAACAACTCGCTTTTTTTCTCCTTCACTCACCACCAGCAGGCATTAAATGAGTGTGCGCGCATGAGTCACTTCGCTGCATTCTTCACGCACTTTTCGCTTCATTTGCTCACTTACGCGTGACATTTTTGTAGCAGCAAAGCAAGAAAACAAAAACGAATGCACTCAGTTCCAGCCAAAAACGCTTGCGGTGCATGCTGTGACTTATAAAAACTATTGTTGTTGTTTTTATTGTTGATTTTGCACTGCTGCGCCCGTTTTCAGCCAAAAATAAAGCGTTTGTGCCAATTACTTCTCTGCTGCGGAGCCATGAAACATCACAGCGTTTGAACTGGTTTTTTTTTTTAGCCTTATTGTTGTTTTTGTTTATTGTTTGTGCTTGGCAGTGCCAGTTTTGTCGCCTGTTTCGCTGCCTCGCTCATTGCTCATTTGCGCCGTTTTACTTATTATTCCTCTACTTATTTTTAGTTTCTTGCTTTGTTTTTATTTTTCTTTTCTCGCTGTTTGCCTTTGAGCATTTTAATTGTGGCATATAATTTAATTACGTGTAACTGGAACGCCAAATAGCAAAGAGGCGGAACGAATGGCAAACAAAAAAACACAAAAGAAAAATAATCTTAAAAAGCGTTGATTCGCACATTAACTTGAATCCACTGATGTTTATGTAAATTTTTTTTATTTGTATTTTTTTAATTTTTTTTATTTTTCAAAATATTTTTTGTAACCTTCAACCGGTTCAAAAAATTGTTAGAGCCGCAAATTTCCGTTGAAACATTTTTTATGCACTTATAAAAGCGTTTTCAAGCAAAAAAAACTTAAATTAAAAGATTTAAAAATATATATATTATTTATATTAATTTGTATTTAACATTTACAAGCACAGTTAACTTTTGTTCACCTTTACGACATTCAATCGAAATTCCAATTGCAACATTCTTCCACTACCATCCTTCAACGCAACTCACTACTATCTTTATTAGCCACACTCCACACCCACCTACCGTGCGACCTCTTGCATCGCACAGCAACGGCCACTTCACGTCGGCTGTCGACAACCGAACATGGCATCCTCGACAACCGAATACAATTGTCACCTGTCAAAGCAATAAATTTGCAACATGCTACTCCAGCTATCGACGGACAGACAAGTAGTTGCTTGGTGCTATTGATTGTTAATATTGTTGTTTTTGTTGTTGTTACCTATGCTGTTGTAGTTGCTTAGTTACCTTCATCATTATGCATTGTTGTTGTTGCGGCTGGCTTCATTGTTTCGCTACAACTGATTGCTTTTTTTAATTATTCAATGCTACTTGCCTTTAACTACTTGTTTCAAGTTAGTTATATAACTTGCTTTTCTTGTAATTTTTGTTGTAAAATCTGTCACACACAGTTGTTCGAACTGTTCACTTCATTTGCCTCGCTACGGTAGTGATCATTGCCAAACTTAAATATGTCTATAGTTGACAAAATTGGGTACTTACTAATATAATATTTACTGGGTAGGTTGAGAATGGAGATCCTAGCCTTATACATATAAAAAATTTTGAAAGGTTAGCAACATATTTTGCATTATAATTACAATAGCAAAGGGTTGCCATATATTATATATTTAAATACTACTTCGTAGAGAAATTTTATCTTCCAGTGTCAGTCATTTATTATTTAGCTCTTATGAAATTATTTATAACTGCTTCGGCAAGCGTGCTGAGAGCAGAGAAAAGCGCTAAAATGTTGATACTGTTAGTATTACTATGGAATTAGGACTTTCTTCAACTATTTTTAAGAGTTCTTCATAGACTGCTCGAAATAATGTAATTTTTATTAATACAAAAATTAATTTGAGAACAAAGGCTTAGGGTTCTACACTTCTTAAAATAAATGATAATATTCCATGCCATAAAATAAATCGTTCATCAATCAAAGCTCATATACTTGAGTATAATCAAACACATGACTCATTCGCCGTTTGTACGCTTTTTGGAAATATATTTTCTAGTATTTCCCCTATTCCTCAATTTATTTTATATCTCATTGTAGCTACATTTGCTCAATTTTTTTTTTTTTTAACTTTGTATATTTTTACATTATTTTCGTATCATATACACAGGCATCTCCCTTTCCTCACGCTTAAAAGACAAGATTACAATTGCGAAACTTCTCATTTGCTTCCAACTTCCCTTTGCTTTTTTCATGCATAGAAACTTCATTTCTAACTTCACTGAAATAACATTTTTTCCAAGCAAAACTCCATTGTCCTTTTCTTCTGCGCTATCCTGTTTCATATGGTTGCTGATGGTTGTCTTTCATTAGCATATTCCCCACTCCATGCGCGTTGAACCTGCATACGTCGAGCAAATCATCACGTCTGATCTAACAAATTAATGCAAGCGGGCGTTTCTCAAATCCACACTCCAAAATTTTGTCAAGTATACTTTTTACTTTTTCTTTCATTTATGTCATTAACAGTGGTAATAAAAATTTCATACTCCAATTGCACGTTAATTGAATTTGTGGGGGAGGGGAATTTAAATTAGCAGTTTCAATTAAGTTTGTAGAGATTTTGTTATAAGGAGAC